GTTAAAATGCAGATTCCCCCCAGACCCAAATGAATGGGATTATACGGGTTTGGGACTGAAAATATGCATCTTTAACAAGCACCCTTAATGCAATCAACACTGAAAATCACTCATCTTGGGCCATGTTATAATCATGCCATAAATACCATGTATTATTCATGTGTCATCTCACTAGGATTTCTCTTCATCTCCAAAAGAAACTTCTGGTCTACAAGAAGCAAAAGACAAAGAAACCATCCTAGGAATTGCATAGCCAAATAATAGAAGTGAGAGTATAGTGGTGCCCAAGGTGGGGGAGGAGGGTTGTCAGTCGGCTTGGGGACACAGAGGCACAGTTGTCAAGAAGGGGAAACTTCACCTGCACATTTCCCGTTGTGGATGCCCACCTCACCCTAGACTTTATTAGCAACGGGCTGCTATTTTTATCTTCAGCTGCCTGGTTTATATGCCCTGAGTTTCATAGGACCTTATCAGATGTCCACAACATGCAAGGAAAAAACCAGGAGGTTCCAAATCATCGCACTTCACTGCAGTTATTTTAGGGTTAGCAGTGGAACATACAACTTCAAAACCATGTGTTTGATCTAGGATATCTTTTGGTAGCTTAACTTTCATCACAGTTGTGTCTGATGGACAGAAACTTCCATACTTAACACAAAATGGAATGTTTCCACGTTCCCATTATTCCCCAGCTCAAAAACTCAACAGGTTCCATTTCTTTCAACTATTTAACCACAAAATGGAAGACAGGAGAAAGATCCCTAAAAACTACTTAGATCCCTATCTTCACTGCAACCATTTACGGAGCACCTCCCATATTCCCAGCACTTTTTATATTCACCAGGTATGATAAATATATAACCTCAATTCTTAAAATTCTGTAGAGATAGTACTGTCTGAATTTTATAAATGGGGACAGTCTGAGAAAGACTGGTCCTCATGTGCAAGTTCCCACAGCTAGGAGTTGATCGACTTAGAACTGTTGGATTCCCAATGGCAAATACTATTAACACGGTTTCAAAAAGCAAAGGACTTCAGCAGTGAATGTAGGTCTTCCTATATGACCTACTGCCAGGTCTATCAGCAGCAACCATCCCCTTCAGCTCAGAGGCTGAAGGCTTAAAAAGAGCATTGGCAATGAATGAGTAGTTTAGTTCTATAATGTATAGTAAGTGAGTTTGCAATTCTCTCATCAAGCCTTCAAAGTTCAAAATTGATAGATGATAAAAACAAACAAACAAAGAGGGATAATCTGTAATATGGACTTGTGATAAATACCAAGGACACAACAACGAAATAGGTGTAACCTTTGCTTCAGTGATGATCTATCACATCAGAGATGTGAAACAATGTGCTAATGGTATCAACAGGGAGTCATGGGACCATGGAGAATTTAACCTGAAGTGATGTTTTGCTATATTTCATTTCTATTTTTCCTGAAACTGAATAATTGGATGTTCTTATTGAAAAGGTTACTTACATTAAATCTTCCTGCAGAGAAGGAATATGTCAAAATGACTTTATTGCTCAATATGTTGAATTATATAAGAATAAACTATAATATAATACATTACAAAGCCTTAGCACCATCGTGAGCCACGTGAGTCACTCAGAATCATAGAATTCTGGAGTTTGCAGAATCCCCAAAGATTGTCCGTCTCTGGTACTAGAAGATCCTCAAGGGAGGGAACTGAACCTCATGATTCTGTTGACCCACCTCCCTCATAATCTGGTTCATTACCGGACACCAAACACAGTGGTAGGAGTGACTGCAGAAAAATGTTATTTTTCTGAAATGCATTTAGAATTTCTAAATCTTGCAGAGACAAAGGAAAAAGATGATTTTTTAAATTAGTTAAACTATTTATTAGCTGTCTGAGTGGGAAGAATATTGCAGGAAGATGTCATTATAAAACCTGAATATAGCTGGCATCCAGCCTAGAGTTTTCAGCCTGTTTATAAAACATGCCAGATATCAGATGGTATGCGTTAATAGCAGATAGCCAAAACACTGGCTGCAATTTCTAGGAAAGACTAAATAATTTTACTAAGCTTTTGGCAGAGCTGTTCTGTAACACACCATTTCTCTTTAAATCTGCTTAGAAAAAGAAATGAAATAAATGAGGAAAGTTTAGAACTTTCATTTTCTACACAAGGGAATATAAATATGGAAAGCATGGTACCAAACACCAGAATGTTCATATTGTGAGTGCAAAACCCCTAGTTATCTACCCCTTCTCCAGAGTGTAATCCTATAAAATTTGGAGTTCATACAGAACCTGAAAATGAGAGAGGAGAGACAAAGCAGTTTCCAGAAGTGAGAGCAGCAAAAAAAATGGGAGGAAAATGAGAAATAAAACCAGATTCCGAGGTACTGCATTTCAACACAATAACTGTGTCCATAAAAATGATGCTTACCTCTAGAAACAAGAAAAATCTCTAATAACTACCTAATCCTACAATGAAAAGAATTAGAAGGGGAAAAACAAAAGAAGTCCAGAGTAAGTAGAAGGAAGGAGATGATAAAGTTCACAGTGGAAATAAATGACATAGAGACCAAAAAAACAATACGAAAGATCAATGAAACCAAGAGCTGATTCTTTGAAAAGATAAGCAAGATTAATGAACCTCTAGCCAGACTCATGAAGAAACAGGACCTAAATAAATAAAATCAGAAACAAAAGAGGTGAAGTAATAGCTGACCCCACAGAAATAGAAAGGATGGTAAGAAAATACTGCAAAACAACTATACGCCAACAAATTGGACAAATTCCTAGAAACATACTATCTTACACAACTGACTCAGGAAGAATCAGAAAATCTGAATAGACTAATAACAACTAATTAAATTGAAGCAGTAATAGAGAAAGGGAGCAAAGTAAATGCTACGTTATTATATAGAGGCTTAGATATCGCTGCGGTAAATTCCCATCCGTGTAATTTATGCCAATCTTTCTAAAGGTTTTTGTTTTTTTTGACATCCCCTTAAAGATAAATTACCTCCATATGGGATCATTCTTCTCTCATAATCTGTAATGCTGTATCTCAAGTGTGGGTTTCAGTGAAGTAATAAATAGTTCTATTTTACTGTCTCAGCGACATTGCTACAACAAATCGGCATCTATTAATCCTACTTCCTTTAGCGACACAATCACCAGGCCCTTCTGAGATTAGGAAGAAAATCAAATTTCAAAGTCAAAACCACATTCCAAATTTCTTAAAAGATTTTTCTTGTTCAATTCTTTTGTAGAAACATTGGTCACCATTTAACATACAGTGGCAACAAAATGCACCCAATTTACATGCATCAAGAAGTCAATAAATCATCATACATGGACAACATGAATTTTAAACAGACAGTACTAGAAAGTAGCTCATGTTGCATTTAACCACAGTTATGGTGCTCTCAATAAAGAAATAACTAATATGAGAAATAAGAATTCCAGTTTCAATCTGAAATAAGGTTCTTGGTAACAAGTAACATAAAATAATAGTTACATAAAGTAATTATCTTAAAGTGAACCATTTCTCAGAAATCATTTTGTGCAGAACACAAAGATCTTGGAAAAATGTGTATCTTAGGTTAAGGACAAAAGGGTGCCATTTTTTGAAAATTAATTAATTACCTGAATGATGCAAATTTTTACTGTGTCCATAAATTAAAATGTCTTTCAATATGAAGATTTTATGTTACATGTTTTGACACCTTAAATAACTTTGCAGATGTTCAGCTAAACTGAAAGATTCTGTAGGACTAGATTATTTTCAACAGGAAAAAAACACACAACAGTAATCAAAAGCCCTTTCTAAACTCACAGGCAGTTTCTGGATATGGGATTTAATTAATAAAGAAAAAATTTAAGCACCACAATAATATGCTTTTTTAGAAAACAGAAAGGACTGGCGATATACAAGTTAGGGACAAAAGCACATAGATATTTAGCAAAAAAAGTTTTTAATAAGCACTCTAATCCTCTCTCCTGAAGTAATAAAAAAAATTTTTTTTTGTGTGTGTATAGTACTATGTGAAAGATACAAACCATAATTCTGTTTAAGATATCAAGTTCTATTCTAATTTGATCAAATGAGACTGTCATACTATTTGTACATAATAAGAATGGTATATGTTTATCTTTCCACTGTTTGATTTATGTTTTTCCTTCTAAAATCTATGATTAAGGGATAGCACTAAATTATTTTGAAGTGCACTGAAGCGAATTTATGGTAAATTGCCTTGTGGGGAAAATCAGTTCCTTTGTAAAAAGAGCTCAAAGTTAAAATTTGCAAATAAACGTTTAAAATAAGTTATAGCTGTAAATACAGCCATCTTATAAGTTTCCCTTCTTTTGCATCTATTTACCAACTTTAATAATTTCAGCAACCCAAATAGTAATTTTAATTTCAGTTTTTCTATTCCATAATGTGTTTTTTTAGCATGTGTAACAGTCCACATGCTAACAAACTTTAAGGGTTCATAAAATTAAAATTTATGATTCCTACACGGTTATACTTAAGTCAGATATACAAGATTGGAATAAATAACTTCAACCTAGAATCTGATTTAAATACCACAAAAGAAGAAAAAAAGACCAAAAAGGAAAAAAAAGATTTTAACTCATGTAACTTTTGACTATTAGACTATATGTAGCAAAGAGTAAAATATAAAATATTTTTGCCTTACCAATGTAGCGCACTGGTTGAGCATCGACCTGTGAAGCAGGAGGTCATGGTTTGATTCCCAGTCACAGCACATGCCCAGGGTTGCGGCTTGATCCCCAGTAGGGGGGCATTCAGGAGTCAGCGATCAAAGATTCTCTCTCAATATTGATGTTTTTATGTTTTTATCTCTCTCTCCCTTTCCCTTCCTCTCTAAAATAAATTAAAAAATATATATATATGTATATATATATATATATATATATATATATATATATAATATTTTTCACCTCAAAAGAAGTTATCCAGAAGTAAAATTCACTAAACAAGATATAACATCAGGATTATGAATAGGAAGTACTCAGACTCATTTAATTCAGATCAAAAGACATTTTGGAGGGAACAAATCCTTCCTGTACAATATAATTTGTATCTCATTAACCTTACAAACATCCTTTCAACTTCACCACTTATCCCATAAACCTTCTTGACAGTTCCCATTTTCTATTTCTCTAAAAAAATTTGTTTAGCCTCTTAATTTTCAAGTGTCATGTCAAACCCCTTAGTTCACTCTAATTCCATAATCACCATTGAAAAGAACCCACAATAATAATTTTCTTCCTCTCATTAGTCAAAAATCACCATGTAATGATGCAAAATTGAGAAATTAAAAGTAAAACAATCCATTCGAAATAATATACTTAAGATATATGGTTGCCCTAACCGGTTTGGCTTAGTGGATAGAGCGTCGGCCTGCAGACTGAAGGGTCCCAGGTTCGATTCCGGTCAAGGGCATGTACCTTGGTTGCGGGCACATTCCCAGTCCGGGGTGTGCAGGAGGCAGCTGATCGATGTTTCTCTCTCGTCGATGTTTCTGACTCTCTGTCCCTCTCCCTTCCTCTCTGTGGAAGATCAATGGAATATATTTTTTTTAAAAAAAGATATATGGTTTTATGCAGTACGAAGACCACATAACTGCTCATTCTGATTGACCTCTGGCACTTGAGACAAGAAATTAGAATGAGTAACAGAAACTTAAAATACTTAAAGTCTGCATCTGTTTAGAATAGATGTGGGAGTAAATAAAAGTGACTGAAATGATATGATTATGCATGTTTTCTGTGAAACAGTACAAAATTGATGTTGCCAGAAAGCGAGTAAAAAATCTTCAACTGACAACAAACATCTTATGTAATTTGGAAAAATCTTAAGGTTGAATTGTAACTATAGGGAACACAACAACAGAAAATGTTTTCATGCATATACATATTACGTAACAAATAAGCAAACCCCAAGTCAGTACAATACATCAATGACTGATAAATGATATCTGGATATATAAAGAAAGAGAAGGAAAAGATAAAATGTTGACTGCCGTTGATGAAAAAGCACTTCAATTTACACAAAATGATACTAAACAGTTTTTTTAAAAAGATGTCCTAAGAAAACCAAGCCACAATAAGTTAGTGTTTTCCATAATACATGCTGAATTATTTGATCCCATATCTATACACTGTTACTGTCTTAATTCCTAATGTTGTGACAGCATATTTAATCATTGAGGTACATTAGTTTACATCTTTTATAGGTACTCTACGAGGGTTAATTTTTCTTTTCCAGTTTTTCATCTTCTTCACCTGCTCCCAAGAAAATCAAAGGAAACATTCCTAGAATGCAGCCAATAGTCACCCCAACAGCTTTGCCCTAAGGAAACAAAACAAAACATTTTTGAAAGTTATTTTATTGCTGTAAGAGGAATCCTTGCTTAAGTATCTATGATAAACAATTACTATCCTATATAATAAAAGCCTAATATGCTAAGTGTCTGGTCATCTGGTGACCAGTTGACTGTTCAACCAATCAAAGCGTAATATGCTAATGATATGCTAAGGCCGCTCAACCGCTCACTATGACGTGCACTGACCACCGGGGGGCAGTCAACTGGTCAACCAGTTGCTATGATGTGCACTGACCACCAGGGGGCAGATGCTCCAACTAGTAGGTTAGCTTGCTTCTTGGGTCCGGCCGATGGGGACTGAGCGAGATGGGCCAGACATGCCCTGGAGCCCTCCTGCGGTCCCTCCCCGCCCCCAATCATGCACTGGTGGGGTCCCTTGGCCTGGCCTCTGCCCTCTCGCAAACCAGGACCCCTTGGGGGATGTCAGAGAGCCTGTTTCAGCCTGATCCCACAGGCCACTCCCCTTGGGAGGGCGCCAGATGCAGGGCTCATGGCTGGCAAGTGCTGTTACTGCAACTCGAGCCTCTCCCGATCAGGACTGATTGGGCGCGATCCTGTGGCAGCTGCAGTGGGGCCGGAATGAGCATGAGTGGCAGGTAGGAGCTGCAGGCAGCATTGGACTGTGGGTTTTGGCCCGATCCCCGCAGGCCACCCCAAGGGACCCCACCTGTGCATGAATTCGTGCACCAGGCCTCTAGTGTACTATAAAATTCAACTGTGACTGCATGTCTGTTGATCATAATAACCGAAATATAAAAATATGCTACAGCCAAAACCGGTTTGGCTCAGTGGATAGAGCGTCAGCCTGCAGACTGAAAGGTCCCAGGTTTGATTCCAGTCAAGGGCATGTACCTTGGTTGCGGGCACATCCCCAGTAGGAGATGTGCAGGAGGCAGCTGATCGATGTTTCTCTCTCATCGATGTTTCTAACTCTCTATCTCTCTCCCTTCCTCTCTGTAAAAAATCAATAAAATATATTTTAAAAAAATGCTACAAAAATATTCTAGAAGAAATGATATTGAAAGTTCAAAGCAACCAGGAAATTTTTCTTTTATCAAATTGCCATAAAAATAACATCAAAGAATATTCAAGTAGAAAACACTCATTAAATATTGAACATATATTTTAATGTCAGAAGACAAGAAAAACCCTCACCTAGAATCTTATTTTGACCTTAGATAATGTTTGTATTTATTTATATATATTCACAGAGACTATATTAGATTCCTGACTTCCCCATATACATGAAATGACCCTTGCTAGTAGACTCCACTTCCCACCCAAAATGTTAGAATGCTTGTTACTGTCATCCATGAAAACCAAGGCTTTCTCTGCCCTCACTCTAGGAATGCCAGTCAGTGAGTTCCAACACAATTTTCTCAATGGGGCAATATGGTCAGTAGGGCAGAGGAGGAGGAAAGAAATGGGCTATCCTTCCTTTTCTGGCTCCCTGATCCAGGCCCTAAAAAAAAAATTATATATATATATGGTTAATCCTCAACCGAGGACATTTTTTTCTCCCACTGATTATTTTAGAGAGAGTGCAAGAGAGTGGGAGAGACACAGAGAGAGAAATTTTGATGCAAGAGAGAAACCATTGGTTGCCTCCCGCACGGGGATCAAACCTGCAACCAAGGTACTTGCCCTTGACCCGAATCAAACTCGTGATCCTTCAGTCGTGGGTCAATGCTAAAACCACAGAGCCAAACCAGCTAGAGCCAACCGGCTAGGGCCATATTTTTCCATCATAATAGTTATATATATATATATATATATATATATATATATATATATATATATATATATATATATATATATATATATATATATATTTATATAGTTATATATATTTATATATATATATATATTTATATAGATATATATATATATATATATATATTACTAGAGGCCCGGTGTACGGATTTGTGCACTGGTGGGGTCCCTTGACCTGGCCTACGGGGATAGGACCAAAACTGGATCTCTCACAACCGCCAGGAGGTCCCGGATTGCGAGAGGGCTCAGGCAAGGCCGAGGGACCCCACTGGTGCACGATGGGGGCCGGGGAGGGACTGTGGGAGGGTCCAGGGTGTATCTGGACCGTCTCGCCCAGTCCCAATGGGCCAGACCACAGCAGCAAGCTAACCTACTGGTTGGACCATCTGCCTCCTGGTGGTCAGTGCATGTCATAGTGACTGGTCAAATGGTTGAACAAATGGTCGGACACTTAGCATATTAGGCTTTTATTATGTAGGATTATCGGGTCTTATAATAATATTAGGCCCTATAGTTAATTATACTGGAGCTAACCAAGGACTTGAGTATATCTGTAATATTATGCAAGAAGATATTTTCAGAGTTTCAAACAACCAAATTACAAATAAGGCTTTAAAATACAACATATGTCAGTTAGAAACCACATGTGTACTGGCATATATTCTATTCTAGGTAAATTTCAGAGTTAGCACATGTTATAACTAGATGGCTGATCACTAACTTCAACCACTACAGGCTGTTTATAACCAAAAGTTATGTTACAGAATAGAAGATCTCACCCTAAGACATACCAAGCGGAGTCAACAACTGAGGAACAGAATACGTATGCTTATGGGGTTTTATCAATAAACATACAAACAAGTATATATATGACAGTTTGGTGTGTGATGTGCTTTTGTTACAGAAGGGGGGAAATGGACTTGCTCATAATATAGAAAGAAAATAATTATAAATTATGTCAGAAGAGAAGGCCCCAGGAAATAATCTTATCTTGATCCCAACTGTTATGTTAAAATGTTAAGCCAAATTCCTAGAATGTTAGAATATCCTTACTCCTCAACAACCCTGGCTGATCGATATTAGCTAACTAATTTCACTTCAATAGATCTACAAATTGCAAGATATGGACACACACACACACATAATTTTTTATGCAGCGACAGGTCTAAGGTAGAGCCTGAGAATTTGCATATCTAATCAGTTCCCAGTAATGTTGATCCTGCTGGACCTGGCATCGCACTCAAACACTGCCCAATGCAATCCCCTTCTCACCTGGCTTTCACCACTGCCAACCTTTTCAGTGAGGGCTGTGGTGACCCTCCTATTTAGTATTGCAATCTGTCTCCATTCTAGCACTCCCAACCTCTTTTACTCTGCTTAGCTTTCCTTTTTTTCTTTAATCTCCCATAACACTGTGAACTTCTAATATTCTAAATATTTAACTTATCAAGTTTTTAAAATTGTTTCTTTCTCCTCACGCTGCTAGAACTTAAGATCCACCAGAAAAGAAAAAAAAAAAGATCTTGTTTTGTAAACCAATAATATCCAAAGCTCCTAGGTCTGTGCCCTGCATGTAATAGGTTAACAGTAAAGATTTGTTGAATTAATGGATGAATGATTGCACCCACCATCTCTAATTCAATCCTCTCCAACTCTTGACCTTTAATCCAAATGCCTACTCGGTGTCACCGCTTGAGTGTTCTACTGACATCTCAAATTCAGCGTGTCCAAAATAGAACTCATTCTCTTCCCTTACAAAAGTTGTTCTTCCTCCTCTTCTGAATTGGTAGCACTGACCCATCCCGTTTCCTTCCTATTTAAAATAGCACTCCACCACGTAGGTATGGGGTTCAAGCTCTTTGGCACAGTTTACACATTGACAGAAAAATGCCTTTCCTGTCTGATCCTTTCTTACATCTCCCATGTTGTTTCCATTATTGCTTCAATGTACAACTACTACATAGCACATCCCAGCAATTACTAATCTCTTGTATTTTTGTTAACACACCCTGTTTTTATCATGCTTTTCTACTTGCTAGTCAATATACTTGGATTTCTCTTGCTCACTTAGTAAATGTCTCCCCAATAATTTTTAAAAATCAGCTTAGATCTAATAGTCACCAAGAAATCTCCCCATGAAAAGAAACTTTTCCCCACAAAGTATTAATTCTTGTACTTGTGCTATTCCTAGATCTAGTTTATAAGTTCATTACTGCATATGTCACACTAAATTATAATTTGTTTAAATGTCTGGTTCTCTACCTAAACAATCCTCAAAACAACTATATTCATTTTATGTCTAGCACATAACTTGATACCTTAAGATTAACTGAATCATATGAAGAATTTTTAAAAATGAAGTACACCTACAAAATATGAAGTCAATAAAAACAATTACTCTCCCTCTGAAAACTGCCAAGCCTTGGACAATTTGTGTTAAAACCTACACTCAGATCAATTTTAGTCTCAAATTTCTCAAGGGACTGAACTTGCTCTGGCTACCCAAATTCATTTTCATAAGCCACGTAAAGTACTTACCAAATGTGTACTAACTCGGGTTTGCCACATGTCAACCTGCTTTGGTGTGAGATCAGGAATCGACAGGCCTAACCTGGCAGCCAAAGCTTCGACGTAGCCTGCAAGTCTTTAAAAAAGACACGGGGACAGAATATAAGTTGTTAAAGTCCTCAGGTAGTAAAAAAACAAGTTAATACAAAGAGAAACGAGATAGTTTTATACCTATAATTAATTGGCACTCTAGAAATGGTGTCAGCATTTTCATAAACATTTTTGTGTATAAATTTTTATTGTGTATAAATATATCCAGCTTAAAACTATTTTCATATTACTATATTTAATACATAGGTAAATTAATTGACTTAGCAAACTTATTCTCTACCATTACTTTTACATGACTAATTCAAGGTATAGAAATTTTTTACAACAATTTCAATTTATGCACTTATTCTACATTCCAAGTAAAGCACTTTAACATATGATATAAATTAATAACTATCATCAGAAAGCAAAAATTTCCAAATTTACCAGGTAGATATAATAAGAAAAACAGCCTAGAATTTTCATAACAATTTCAAGTATTTATCAATTCTAATTTACCTTCACTTGTTGGATACTATCTTACTTTATGAACTGTAAGGAAAAAATGCCAATTAAACTATGCATACCATTGATTATGGGATGGATCCCAATGTCAGGTATGTTAAATCTAAAAAACTGTGCATCTAAGAATGGATAAAATGTGGTGTTTGTTATTTAATGATATTTTTAAAAGGCAAAGAAGAAATAGTTCTTAAAAGTCTCCCAACAAAACCTTTATCTCTAACAAAAATAATTGTCTTATGATGCTATCTAAAATGAAACAGCCTTACAATGTATTAGATCATTTAGTTCTATTAAATACAGAAAGCTATCACAGCAGCTGTAATACCATTACTAACCTTAGTATTGGAAACTGGGAAAGGTGATGTTTGAAGGATGATAGCATATGGATTTATCCCAGAAATTTCAGGAATGTAAAATTTTTGCCTTGTCCCCAAACCAAAGAAACTCTGTTTTTAATGGTAGCTTTGGCCCCAACTCCAGCGCAAAAGTCTGACATGTAGGGTCAGACCAATTATAAAGCTGCCTTTGCCTAGACTATAGGGCTAAGTAGACTTCTATTAGCCCCAAATCCAAATTCCAAAACTTACCACTCCAATGAACCAAGGAAGGAAGTAACAAAACCAAAGGCTGAGTATGAGAGTGTGCGTATCACTATAATTAATGCCAGCTTAGCCTAACTTATACTTCCCAAGCTTCCCCAGGCTCGGGAAACAGCCCAGCCCATTTGCCACTGGGAAGTGAGAGTGTAAAAGGAGAAAGAGAGAAAACTGGTCTTTTCTAAGCAGACAGTTTGTTTCATCATTCCTGCCACAGGGAGTAAAGAAAGCAAACACATGTATGCTTTGGCCATTATTCCTTTAGAAAGTTCCTCTCCCTAGAGAAAACATGCCCAGTCAGCAGCCTCCCCTTTGAGCCACATCTCTTCTCTTGGGGCTTAGTGGGAGGAGGCTGGGGTGGAATAATGATAGGGTTCTTACTTTTTATCCTCTCTCGGCCTTGGAAATGTCTATAAAATACATACGTATGAATAATTAACTCTGCTTCATTATGATAGCTTTAGAAAAATTTTGGTATATGTCAGAATTTCTTGAGAAGATTATTGAACACAAATGTCAAGGCCCCATCCCCAAGAAACACTCACTACGTATGACTGGGGTGTGACCCAGGCATCAATAGTTGATGCGCACCAAAGATTTAGTACTACTGATTTCGAAATTTTAAAACTTAGCTCTAAAATTTGGCTCTAAAAGACACAAATAAATGTCTTTTTTTTTTTTTTTTTAGTCCTCTCAATTAAGGAGAATGGAGAAGGGAAAGAGAGCAAATAAGTAAAGACATGCACAAATGAATAAATGTATGGACCTACCCAAGACCAGCTAAATCTGACACAAGATTTCCCAAAGCAGCAGCTAAAAAAAGGGAAAAATGGACAAGTAAATTGTCACGTGGAAGTCATAAAAAGCATTAGAATACATCACTCTAATTAACAAAGCACTGGTCTGGAAGCGTTACCACATTTCTCAAACTAAAACAACTATATCCAAAGTAACTCATTGAATAGCTCGGAACTTCAAGATTTCATAATAGAGTACAATTCTTCTGAGATTATAGTATTCTATAATCTTCATCAAGGAGCAGGGTTTTTTTTTTTCTGTTGTGGCAGCCAGTTTCCATTTTAGGTTCAATATTCAAACACGTGTGCAACATTTTGTAGTTGTAACTTTCAGATAATGTTTGATAGAGGGAATTTGGATATTTGGGGAAAAGTAAAACCATATGTACAACTCCAAAATTCCAGGAAATCAAGGAGAAGAAATGTCTCTTACATTAATTCATCTACTTATGTGCTCCATACAACACACAGAACACAGAGTATCCCCAGATTTCAGCATCACGAAGAATACAGTGGTGTTAATTGAGGGGAAAGTAGAAGATAGTACCAAATTAAATTTTCCATCTTATATTTCCTTCTTTGATTTTTCTGCCCAACTTGAGAATAAATAATTTAATAGAGAAAAGGGGTAGAAAGGTTTCAGGGTGACCAGTAATTCAAAGAAAAACTTTTCATTAACATAGTCAATGTAGTAGATTACTGTTACCCATCAACTAACATACTGTACCTAAAATTTCTCAGAAAAACATAGTATTATGTACACAAAATTAAGAATTAAAGGAATAGGATTTAGGAGATAAACTAGTAGACATTTCAATGAGTAAATGCATTCAAATAAATTATCCCCTTCTATACTTAACCTACTGAAATGTTTTTAAATATACAGATAATAGAATATTATTATTATTAAATACCTGCCATAGTTGAAATTCCCAAAATAATTCCAATAGACATCTCAATATGGGTTCCCTGAAAAAAGATTGCAAAAAAAGTTAATCTTAAAATATTAAAGCTCTGCTGACTATAAAAGAATAGCAAAGCATTAATAAAAACAGATAAAGTAGTCACACATGTTATTGCAGCAAAATTATAAAAATATGCAGAAATATGCATATATAATGCAGTAATTCACTTAATTACTAAGGATATGCAATATGCAAAAATAATATCAATATTTCTTCATTAAAATTAGGCTTTCAGAAAAAAAATACCAACACAGATACAATACAATTCATCATTAAGAATCTAAGATTTATATTTTATCACAGAGAAAGGTGTTTAAAGCTCTTTGAGCACAAAGTCGACAAACTCACCTAAATTTTAAATTCTGAATGCTACATCTATCTATACTATTGTTATTTATCCTATAAAAGATTGAAAAGCCAGACTAAACCAGTATCTAGGAACCCAAAATATCATAAACCTCAAAAATTACCCTTATAACACTTAGCTGTTTAGCCATTAAGTACTGGGACTATCTGATTCATTTATAAGTACAACAACATTTGATGCAATAGAGCTAAAGCAAAAATGAGGCTCTATTGTATTTCCACCGCATTTATTTATTGAGGGAGTTTAAGACTTTCCACATCTCACTCCTCTGAAGAAAAAAGGAGCTCATATTTTTATTTCTACTTTAAAGAGAAGGAACTGAAGTGACGAAGATGAAACTATTCTAATGGGTTATTACATAGACTAAATTAGAAATCCTAGAACCTGTCATGCTAGCTCAGTTCCAGTCCTTGGGCAATGCTGCCATAAATGGACATACTTTTCAAAAGCCCTCTTGAATACTAAGAATGCTTGAACATTTAAAAAATCTCCATGGTGTTTGTGGAGAAAGGAGAATGCTCTGTGTGGTATGTAGAAATACTGCATTAATCAATTATTTCTAAAACTGAAGAGAAGCTGCGTTGAGTTTTCCTCAATTTTCTTTCCCCGTGGCCTTTTGGTCCCACCTCTTTAAAATCAATTCTTAGAGACGATGGCCCGGACAGCCTGATGCACAAAAGTCTCCCAGGCACTTACAATTACAAGGTTGTAAAGGTACCCAAAGAAAGAGATTCCCGAAGAAGGAAAAAAAAGAACGGGCATAAAGAAAAAAGATGTGTCTCTTTATATATGGATACAAACAGCAACAACAACACTGGGGCTTTGATATAGAAGAGACGCACCTGACAGTTACGGAGCATGGAAAATAAATACAGCATCGTTAACAGCAGTGAGTCACTAGGAATGGCCCAAGAAGAATCTGTTTGCAATGCGGTACATGTATTTAACAAGGATTTAAGTGTGTAATCGTTTGATTAAATTTAAGGAACCTGAAGGTCCTTCTAACAGCATAAAAAGCCTCATATAAAGTCAGTCAGTTTGAAGGCAACAGACTATCCGTGCCTCTACTTTTTTCCCAGAGTTAACATCAAATTTCCTGTTAGCAGGTGAGAGTTGGAAATCATAAACAGATTTAACACTAGTTGTCTTGCAGGTTATACGTGGTTCATCACCTGAATATAATTAATCTACTCTAGAATTCTAACAAATGTTATACTAGTTAAATTGCCAGAAAAATAATCCCCAAAACCACTAGGTTACAAAAGCAATCCCAATAACATAAAAATAGAATAAAGAGCTATAAAACCAAAAGCGTAGTAGGATTAGCAGTCAACAATAAAAGGTCAAATCTATTACAAGAAGTTATATACAAATGTGTTTTTATTAGTACAACTAGGGCAGCAGCAGCCCAGAGAGTACACCTAACCGGAAGAAGAAAATATCAAATGTCTATGGCATGATAGAAAAGCAGAATCAAATATCATAACTTAATATCGTAAAACAGACAGAGCTATCCACAACGTTAGGAGGCAATCAGTGTGTTTTTAAAAAAGTAAAAAAAAATTTTTATGGAGGTAGGTGGGAGCTGGGTGGAGGGGGACAGTGAGGGAAAAGAGGGGCGACATCTGTAGTTACTCTCAACAATCAAGAAACATTAAAAATATTTTATGATAATAATGATCACTGTTTCCCTTTGCATAGATCCTGGAGTTATATTATTTATGTATATTACTCTCAGCAGTGTACTACAAAGCCTCTTTGGAAAACTTCACTGTCCCTGAATTAGTTTGCAATTATCACAGGAAACTATTTTTTGCCACACCTCTTACTCTCAATCAGGTATTGAAGTCAGTGATTTAAATATTTATTTTAGTATTATACAAGTGATAACCTGGTGATTAAGTCCCTGAAAGTGGATTTCAATGTAAACTAGAAAAACAAATAATACTAAATTACTGAGCCATCTGGGGCCTGCAAAAATAAGTCACTCTCACTTATACTACTAATGAGATGCAGGCCTGAGTCACACTGAATCGTGAATATTAGTACAGTAATTTGACTCTAGAATGTGGGTGTTTTGTTTTGTTGGTAGCTCTATTTAAACACAGATATATGTTACTTTAAATATTTATATCAAAGAAATAATAAGATCTTTGGTGAAGGTCTTATTCAGGGTCTAAAAAGCTACTCAATTTTCCTATTCTGATCTCCCTTAGCCCCTTTATGCAAAGTATGTCATCTCAACATGTCCCTGTAGCGAGATTAGTCTTTCAGCATTTGTGTATCTAAGGTCTGCCCTACTGAGGTGAAAAAATTATTATTAAGATGTCAGTAGGGGGGCAAGTAGCTGTTAATAAAAAGAATCTACAAGATTGAGTCATGTAAAATTGAAAGAAATATTTGCCACAGAGAAACTTTAATTCAGACAATCTATTCAAGGAACACATTGAGTCTTAACTATCTATATATCTATATATATAAAAGCCTAATATGCAAATTGTCCCTTCCTGAGTTCAACTGGGAGACCAGGAGTTCAATAACTCACTATGACATGCACTGACCACCAGGGGGTGGTGCGGAGCGAAGGGAGGCCCAGGCCAGCGGCCAGAAGGCCCTGATGGGCCCTGATCGCTGGCCAGGCCTAGGGACCCTACCCATGCATGAATTTCATGCACTGGGCCTCTAGTAGCTTATAAATTCATCATAACGAGGTTTTTATTACAATTATATTTGACTTACATTAACTATTTAAATAATCTAACCAACTCAGATTTTAGTAATTTCAGAAAAGACAGTGTAGCTCTAAATGGCTATCTCACATTCATAGATATATAAATTGGCCAATTTGATTCTTATGTACATATTAGGAAAATGTTGAAATCAGTAAAAAAAAAAAACAACACAAAAACTAGCATTTTGAAATCATATTTTAGAAGCTTTTGCCAGAATACTCTGCGAAGGAATTATCCAACGGGTGTTATCACCTTCAAGTTGTGTGCACGTTAGAGTATCTTCTGTGACTATTTATGAAACAGGATGCCTTTTGCTGTGTGAACCCTGTTAGTTCCCCACCCAGGGGGATGGCTAGGCTTTTTGGATATCTCATTTCCATGAATCTGGACATAAAATGAGACTATGTAGCAAAAGAAAAACAAAACAAAAAGCATTCTTGAATGAACCAATTTTAGATATTTTCTAAGCAAATTTTGTAATCTACGCAATGTAAATTATCCTTTTATCCCGATTTTGAAACCAAATATTCTGTTTATGTCTACATGGAGTAGGACATGTGACTGCCAAAACACCAAAAAAAGCAAAAACAAACCTTGAATCTCTCATATGTATTTTCCTCACATTCAATAATCCAAAAATCGTTACTTTTTTTTAAAGTCTCCTACATAAAGCTAGAATTTATAGATTTTAATTAAAGTTAAAGTCAGTGAAGAGAAGTGAATAGAGCACTTGGGTAGTTTCAAAATAGTTGCATTTTAATCATGGTGTTATTTCTGACTTTAGAATCTGAACCCAATACTGGTATCCATTAACAAAAGGTGTCACATAACAGCAAAAAGGTAAATCGACCATTCCTGAGACTAACTTTTAAAGAACACCCTTACATTAAAATGACCACGGCAAAGGAAAATTCTTTTTTACCCACTACAATGGAACAAAGACAGAAGGGGTATATATCCACAGTGCTCTGAATTGAAATTTATAACATCTTCCAGTTAAATGGATAGATAGATTATATCAAAACATCCTTTAAAACAGCGGTTCTCAACCTGTGGGTCGTTACCCCTTTGGGGGTCGAACGACCCTTTCACAGGGGTCGCCTAAGACCATCAGAAAACACACATATAATTACATATTGTTTTTGTGATTAATCACTATGCTTTAATTATGTTCAATTTGTAACAATGAAAATACATCCTGCATATCAGATATTTACATTACGATTCATAACAGTAGCAAAATTACAGTTATGAAGTAGCAACGAAAATAATTTTATGGTTGGGGGTCACCACCACATGAGGAACTGTATTAAAGGGTCACGGCATTAGGAAGGTTGAGAACCACTGCTTTAAAACATTTTTTGGTCATGGCCGGTATGCTCAATGGTTAGAGTGTTGGCCCTTGAACCAAAGGGTCTTGGGGGCTAGATTCTGATCAAGGGCAGGTACCTGAGTTTCAGGTTCCCTGCCCCGGGTGGGGTGCCTGCTGGAGGCAACCAACTGATGTGGCTCTCTCACACTGATATTTCTTTCTCTGTCTCCTCTCCTCCCCCTTCCACTCTCTCTAAAAAAAATATCGATGGAAAAAATATCCTCCAGTGAGGAATAACCATAAACAAACAAACAAACAAACAAACTACAACATTTTTGCATGGGAAAATTAAACAAGGAACTAATCAAATAACATACATGTGATGTGAACTACTGATACAATTAAAGAACATAAGAAAATTTTACATACATTTTTCTTTAATATGAATGTTGAAACCAGAACAGAATAACATACTCAATCAATATGTGTTTGTTATTGTCAATGCTTTACCAAAAGTCATAATGATGAACATACATGATGCTTTAAAATTGAGCTAGAGCCTAATTAACATAAAACATAGTAAAAAAAAAAGCTTCACTCATTATGTTAATTAAAACTTTACAGCTACAATATGAAAATTATTAGAAAAATTTAGACCACATAAATTTCTTTATTAGCTCAAAATAGAAGGGATAAGAGAAAGAACTTACTGCAACAATCATAATTGCATTATCCAAAAAGCCAAATCCTACGAAAGGTATCGCATTGTGGATGAATACTGAAAAACATCAAAAACAGAAAAATATAATTTAAGATTTCTATAATTTTAAAATGACAAAAATAGACCATATGATTAAAGTCTCCTCAATAAGCTTTGGAATTTGCTTGCCATTCCCCAGAGCCAGAAGACTCTTCTACTCCTACCGTAAGTTTAGCCACTTAGTAGAAGCTATACTGAGCAAAAAACAAATAAAAAATCCATAACAAGTAAAAACAATAGTGTTAGGCTTTTGTGTTTTCTTACTGGCAGCACATACAAACTATATATAGTTAACAGCAGAACAAATAAGTAAATACGTATTATGAATACCATGTTTTTTCCTGTTTAATTGATATTGACATCAATCTGTTTCTCTCTTATACCTAAAGACTGATATCATAAAATTGATCTCCACATTAGAAATAATAAAAACATTCCCTGAATCAGATTTTAGGGAAGCTGTTTGGTCACTTTTAAATAATTGTTTTAAACAAATGTTAGGAAAACGTGATTATTTCATCTATATTAGACATTTACATTCAGAAATCTTTTTCCCCTTCACAATACTTCAGTATCCCTGAATGCTTTCACAAACTATAAAAAAAAAACCCATTCTATTTAAATCAAAATGTAACTTGGCCTCCTCCCACCAAAGGCACACTTACCTCATCTATCTAGTACACGATCTGAATAACCTGAGATAATAGAGGTGTAGCGAGGAAGAACTAATACCTATATGTTTTTTATATATTTAGCCTCATTTTTCTATTTCTAGATGGTAACATATTTAAGCAATAATAGATATGTCTTAAACCGAGTTTATACATTTTTTGCTTTGGCATAATAAATAGGATAACTCACTCTGTCTAGAAAGATTTAATGTAGTGACTCTTGTACTATCAATAAATGATATAGTTATTTCAAGTCCAAGATACAGATGCACAATATTTAACAATTATAGAGGCTTTACCGTATCTCAGCTGTTCTGGGGTGGGTGGCGCAGCTTCCAATTTTTCTAAAGGGGAAGAAAAGGGTGTGGGCCAAGAATTAGTTACGATGGCAAGGTCTCTTTTTTTTATTACAATGAAGAAAACACCAGCAGATTTACAAAGCTAGGAAAATATCAGAGTTTATTCATAAATCATCTTTCGGTTAATGGCCTAAATTAGCCATACGGAAGATGCTACTTGGTATGGACTAAATACAAGGCTGGAAAACAAAACTGAGCATTAGTTACAAGCCTGTCATGGAGTCTCTAACCCTGAATAAATCATTTGCTTTTTGTTTTGCATTTTGTTTTTTAAGTCCTTGCATCTATGTGACACGCCTGTTTACATTAATTGCAGTTTTCAAAATTTCAAAAATAGCCCTGGCCCCTGTGGCTCAGTTGGTTGAGCGTTGTCCTGTGCACCAAAAGGTTCAGTTCTGGTCAGAGCACATGCCCAGGTTGCGGGCTCAGTCCAGATAGGGTCCCCAGTAGGGGTGTGTGTGAGAGACAGCAGATTGATGTCTCTCTCTCACATCAATGTTTCCCTCTCTCTCTCCCTCTCCCTTTCTCTAAAAATCAATAAAAACATTTTTTTTTAAATTTCAAAAATATAGTTACCCTTCTTAAAGATGGTAATCCTAGGTAATTTAAGAAATTTACATGCAAATGAGCACTGATACTGGAAAAAAGAATGTTCAGCCCTAGTGGGTTTGGCTCAGTAGATAGAGCATGGCCTGTGGACTGAAGGGCCCCGGGGTTCGATTCTGGTCAAGGGCACATGCCTGGGTTTCAGGCTCCATCCCCATTAGGGGGCGTGCAAGAGGCAGCTGATCAATGACTCTCTCATCATTGATGTTTCTGTCTCTCTATCCTTTCCCTTCCTCCCTGAAATCAATAAAAATAAAAATATTAAAGAAAAAGAATGTTCAAATAGGCCTAAATATCCTTTAAAAGTAGTAAAATAATATTTTAAAGCAATATATTACAACAATGATTGTGTCCTGTTCTTTAATTAATCTCCCTGGATGATACACTAAATATTTTGAGTTTTGAAACCTATACTACCAGGTAATATAGAATATCCTACTCAATAAAAAAAGGAGGGTGTTATTCAACAAGTAACAATATACTATTTATAATATATGTCATAATAAACACACAAGGTTTTCCCAAGTATATGTCAAAGTAAATATCTTCAAGTGACATCATTAAATCTAAAAATTAACAATAATTACAAAAAAAAGCAAGCTATCAAATCTTATAATAATAACCATCTTACGCCCAGCTGGTGCTGCTCAGTGGTTGAGTGTCGACCTATGAACCAGGAGGTCCATAGTTCAATTCCCAGTCAGACTCGATCCCCAGTGGGGGACATGCAGGAGTTAGTCGATCAATGATTCTCTCTCATCATTGATGTTTCTATTTCTCTCTCCCTCTCCCTTCCTCTCTGAAATCAGTAAAAATATAGATTTTAAATAATAATAATAATAACCACCTCACCATTTATATAAGCACAAGAATAGGCTATGGTAAAATGGCAGAGAAGTCTACCTTCTTCGTCCTCATCCAATCCCACAGCATTAACTGATAACCTATAGAGAAGAACCCACACCATGGATTACTCTGCTCTACAATTTTTTTAAAAAATATATTTTTATTGATTTTTTTTTTTTTTTTTTTTTACAGAGAGGAAGGTAGAGGGACAGAAAGTCAGAAACATCGATGAGAGAGAAACATCGATCAGCTGCCTCCTGCACACCTCCTACTGGGGATGTACCTGCAACCAAGGTACATGCCCTTGACCGGAATCGAACCTGGGACCCTTCAGTCCGCAGGCCGATGCTCTATCCACTGAGCCAAACCGCTCAGGGCTGCTCTACGATTTAATAGAACCAGATTTTCCAATGAAACACATTACAAACTGGATATACATTTTCTAAAATATTTATTTATAATCTATGACAATGTGAGAACTAATTAAATATATATAAGCTATATAAAAATGTATGGTTCATATCTGTGAATGCTATTTTATTTAAAAATTATAATACCATCTGGCTTTATAATAAGAAATACACTAAAACCTAGAGTTTAATCAATTATTGTATTATTCATAAAGTTCTAAGAATTCAACTTTAAGGTTCTTGCCCTCTTTTAGAAGGGTTAAGAAATAAAGATATACTAATCTTTGTAGAGTTTTACATTTAATTAAAATATTTTCTCTATACTTTGACTTGAGCTATTATCTCAAAATTTACCTTTAAGGTATGCAAATAGTTTTCCAATTTTTAAAAAGGAAAGTAGACAACCACTGTAGTCCACAGAGTTTTCTGGTGAAGTAAATAGAACTATTTGCTGGCTGCATTACTCTACCCATCACTCCAGGTCTGACACTGTGCGAGGTCCTTGTCAGTGAACTAGAACATCTTGAAACATCTAAAAATTCATCAAGCAGGACCTTCCCAGTAGCTAAGAGTATATAGTGTCCTTGCTTTTACTTCTTCAAATTCCCTACATACTGACCAAAATATTTAAAATATTTTACAACTCCTAAGGTTTAGGACCAGGTGAATGTATAATGCACAGCAGTAGAAAGAAAAAAAGCAAATAATGTATATAGTATCCTAGTCTTTCTTACTACACAGAAGGATTAAAAAATTAAAGGTAATAAAAAATAATCTTTTTAAAGAAATATAAAGTAAAGGAGACAGAGCAGAAAGGAAAACCACTGGCACAGAGTTGAATGTAAAATCAAATTACAGATTCTGCCTCCTGCTTCACAAAGAACCAAAGGAATAATAAGAGGAAACATGAAAGGAACATTTGCTAGAAAGTGGAAATTTTATGCAAAATATAAACTTTACGGGAAGTAGCCATCAAAAAAGTTTAATTATAATTTGATCATTTTGAGGACTTTGACACTGTGCGTTATCTTCTTTATTATATTAACTGAATCAAAACAAAATATATATCAGCAGTAAAAAACATTAGATGTAACAATGGAACTCAATCTTGAAAATGAACCCAAGGTGCCATCAAAATATACCGGTTTTAAAATGCAATGGCTGCTAATACAACCTCCCTGAAAATAGTCACAATAAACGCTAGAAGCTTTATTTCCCTACATAGGTATCTTAACCTTAGGAATTTCCTTCTGACATCGGTAAACTATCGACACTTACACTGGAAATGTATTCTAATCTAAAGCCAGCAGCAGACTTTGAGGTCAGAAAAACCAATTCTTTCCATTACGGTGTGTGTATTATATACATCATAATTTCTCTATTCTTTTCCTGAATATTTTAAAATAATATGACATTAAGATTGTACTTCACCACACACCATATTTTCCAACTATTTTTACCTAAAAAATTCTGGTCCTATTTCTAACACTGGCTGAATAACCTTCTATCAAACCAATCCTTCTGCCTAGAACAACTCTAAAGTATAGACTAAAATACAATATAAACAAATAACCAACCAAAAGCATTTAAAAAATGACCAAAAATAGGTTGATTCTGGAAAGGAATCAACACTTGGAATTCTGGAGGAATGGTATTAAATGAGTTGCCTGTTTGTTGCAGCTTTGGGCCTAAGGGCACACCTCAATCCACAACCTGTAGGACAACTCAAATGCTAATATGTTCAGACTTTCTGGTCTGAAGAAGCAGTGAACAGGGTACAAAGTAACAAAAGCCACCAGAAAGTAAGAGGGGAATCCTGGAAAAAACAGAGTCAGAACGGAGGAGTCCTAACTTCTATATACCAGTACATTCAGTTCAAACATATGGCTGATCCATGAGCCACACACATGTGGCAGGGAAAACCCCCCAAACCCTAGCTAAGGGTAAAATAACTAAAGATTTAAGCTGCAGCCCAAGAGTTTGTAGTTTAAGCCTAACCATTAATGGCCTGCTACAACAAATGTTAAAAATCTATATTTTAAAGAATAAAACAGAATCCAGAGTCTCTGTAACATAATAATCACAGCAATGACTAGGGTACAATTCAAAATTACTTCATGAAGAAACAGGAAAACATGACTCAGTCTCAGGAAAAACAATAGATGGAGACCAATCGAAAGTAATTCAAGTATCAGAAGTAGCAGACGAAATTACACTCAAAATTATACTGAAGTCATAAATGAAAATATGCTCGAATAGAAATTATAAAAAACAGAACCCAATTAAAGTTTGAGAACTGAAAAATACATTTTCTGAAATTTTAAAAGTAATTGAAAAGGCTTAAAATCAAAAGGGAGGTGACAGAAGAAAAAGTTAGTGAACATTAATATAAGATCACAAATCAAGGGAAAAATTCAAAATCATTTATAATAGACGTGGTAAATACCAAAGCAACTTCATCCTGAATGATATAAAAGGAACAGTTTAATGCACACACTAGTCTTTAATTACAAAAAAACAAATACTTTTTAAGTGGCAATTATCTACTTTCTGACCTTTTGACCACCTAATAATATCTGCTCCAAGCCCCACCCTACCATTTTCCCAATAAAGTACATGCGTAGACTTGGTCACACAAACCACTATTTGGCCTAATGAGAAATTTATAAAAAAGACAGAGATGAAGCTACCATGTTTAAGAAACAATTTGGGGGCTAAATTTCTGAACATTATAAATAACTGCTTAGACTTTTAATAGAACCAAAAGTTTCAATGGATAAAGTAAAATTTATAATAAATATGTAACATTAAAAAATACAAACTTGAAGTACAAACCATGCTGTATGCAAAACAATTTAAGCAAATCATATTAAATGCCAAAAAGAAGACATGCACCCAAAGGAGGTTTATGAAGCTACACAGCAGTATTTTAAAATAAGTTAATATGGCTCAGAAATAGAAAAACTGGCATTCAAAACTGAAAATGCTCTTTAGAAACAGCAAGGAACTTAACTTTTTAACTTAGTAAATTTCAATCAACAGGTTTTGTCTTTTATTTTTATTTATTTTATTTTTTAAAAAATATATTTTATTAATTTTTTACAGAGAGGAAGGGAGAGAGATAGTTAGAAACATCGATCAGCTGCCTCCTGCACACCCCCTACTGGATATGTGCCCACAACCCAGGTACATGCCCTTGACCGGAATCGAACCTGGGACCTTTCAGTCCGCAGGCCGACGCTCTATCCACTGAGCCAAACCGGTTACGGTGGTTTTGTCTTTTAAAATTAAGACTATAATTATAAAAGGATTTTAAAATTATTTTTAAAAATATATATGCTTTAGCTAGGACCCCCCCTCCCCCCATCCCTCAAAAAAGAATTTGAGTGTGATTTTTTAACTTTATTTAGCATTTAAAAGTTTCATGCACATTATGGAGTAAAGAATTTTCTATGTAGATCACATAATACTGTCATTTCATTAACCGTCTGGGGTACATATCATGCGACCTGGGTCTTCATTGCAACCTAGACTGCAATCCAGTTTACTTAAGGGCAACTAACCAGTTCCTGGGCTGAGGCAGGCCCTGGGTGTAACAGTTGAGAGAACAGGAGTTGCCCAGTAGTAATGATGAGGTGATAATGCCCAATGAATCATCATCTTTACTAACCTCATTAATACACTCACCTGTAATTGTTTACCTCTGGCTTAAGAAATAGTAAATACTAGGGGTATAACAATTTATTTCTGTTATAGCTGTCATTTCATAAAGTTTTTAAAGATAATCAAACATACTTTTGATTAGTGGTTGCTTTTACGTGTCTAACTTGTGTACTTGGGATAATTATATACACTACTTAATACACAGAGGCTATATTCCTTCCCTTCCTTCATGCCAAAGGAAGACAAAAAGAATGATTGTTATGTACAATGATATTCCCTTTAAAAAAGACTAAGATATTAAAACAGTACAACTTTTAAAAAACAGATCTTATAACGTATTAGGTATAGAGATAGCACTATAATAAGTTTAGAAAATCACTTAATTATGGATGTTGTATTATATTATAGATGTAAAACTTAAAGTGAGTTAGGACAAATTAGTAATTTGTCTTGGAATATTATAAATGGTAGATATATCTGTGGGTATAGTTACATAGAGTCCCAGAAGATATTCATTTAAAAATAAAATTGCTTTGCCCTACCTGTGGTCAGCAAACTGCAGCTCGCGAGCCACATGCGGCTCTTTGGCCCCTTGAGTGTACCAAGCCTTAGGAGTACCCTAATTAAGTTAATAACAATGTACCTACCTATATAGTTTAAGTTTAAAACATTTGGCTCTCAAAAGAAATTTCACTCGTTGTACTGTTGATATTTGGCTCTGTTGACTAATGAGTTGCTGACCACTGCAGCCGGTTTGGTTCAGTGGATAGAGCGTTGGCCTGTGGACCAAAGAATCCTGGGTTCGATTCTGGTCAAGGGCATGTACCTTGGTTGCAGGCTCCTCCCTGGCCCGGGCCCTGGTGTGGGCTAGTGCAAAAGGCAACCACCCAATGTGTTTCTCTCACACCAATGTTTCCCTCTGTCTTTCCCTCTCTCTTCTACTCTCCCTAAAAATTAATGGAAAAATATCCTTGGGGGAGGATTAACAAAAATAAATAAATAAATAAATAAATAAATAAATAAATAATTGTTTTATACTAGGAATGAGCAGAGATTTTTCAGTCAATACATTACCTTTTCCTCTTTAAATCATTCCCCAAATAAAAATCTTTTATAGAATGTGAGTAGTAAAAGGATTCTTAGAACCCACCTGCCAGTGGTTCTCAACTTGGGGTGGTTCGTCATCACCCTACAAGATGCTCAGAAATGCAGGGATATTTTGGATGTGATAATGACTGCGAAATGCTACTGGCATTAGGAATTCTAAACATCCTATAATGCACAAGAAAGTCCTTTATAATGAAGAATTATCCAGCCCAATTGCCAGCAGTATGCCCACTGAGAAATACTGACTTAATTCTCCACTTTGAAGATGCAGCCACTTAAGCCCAGAGATGTTAAGTGACTTACTCAAAGACACACAGCCAGGTCCAAAACCTATATTTTCATTCTCTTCTTCTATTTTCCTTTTAAAAGTAAACTCTCAATAAAAATATACAAGAACCAACGATCAATTGTATATGAATATGTGAAACACTGTGAGTATGTGAAACAGTTTATTGTATTAAATCATTGATTTAGCCTACATGTATTTTCCCATACAAACAACTGTAAGCCTACATTTGCCCACGCCCCTATAAAGCCTAAGAAAACTAAGTTGTATTTACCCTTTATCCTTTTAAAATTTCAATTGGTCCACAAAATATTTCTGATTCCTTTTTATATACTGTGTACTAGTATACTTCTTAGGCAATGTATCTATATTAAATAGTAGTAAAAAATAAAATAGGAACAGAGAGATATTTATTTGTATACCTGCCTCCCTCCCCCATCTCTCTCTATATATACACCTATCCCTCTCTGTTCCTCTCTGTTCCTCTCTCTCTCTCTCTCTCTCTCTCTCTCTCTCTCTCTCTCTCTCACACACACACACACACACACACACACACACACAATACAATTCTCCCAGTACCACCACCACTACAGAATGCAATATAAATTAGATATCAAGCTGTATGGAGACTGAATCTTAAAAAAAAAATGTTCATGAATGGCCTTAAAATGCAATTATATAAGCCTTTCCAATTATTTTATTTTTAAAATACATTTTTGTGAAGTTTAGTTACTTAAATACAGTTTCTCTTTACAATATTCTGAAGGTTTCCCTGTGTGGCCCTTTTTCCCTACTCATTCATCTTTGTTGCTCGTTATGTGTCCCTTGCCGGGGTTACTGCAACAATTTTTAAAATACGCTATTTAAATATAATTAAATATAAGTGATTTTGTCTTTTGTTAAGGTCATAAGTTTAATCCTTCAGTTAATTAAACATGCAATTATTATTCTATCATATCCACAAAATCTAGGATTAGATAATAAAAAATATCTTGTAGGTAGTCCAAAACAATGATGCAAAAAAATTGTCATTATAACTAAAGCATGCTATTTCAAACCAGCAAGAAGTCAAGAAGTTCTGTTAAATAGATGTTTGCTATCTGCAATAAACATCTAGTGAACAATCAATACTGTTAAGATGGTACTATACCAAAACTATCAGGGGTCTCTGCTGATGATACCTTCTTCGCCGTCTTCATAATGGCTACCTCAGGTTTGGGAAATCTGCATGCTAAAAATATTTAAAAATCAAAATGTATTCAAGCAATAAAGTCAATAAAATATGTATAAATAAAAGGGTATATGAACTTTTGAAATGAAGCATGCTTGAATATAGGCAGTTCTCACTTTGCACAGTTGTGTGGGACCATTAAAATGACAGTGCAGGCTGAAACTGCAAAATCTTAATAAGCAATGGAGAAAATTACAATTGTTATGTGATCTTTAAAAAAAAAATTTCCAAACATTGAAATCTCTCTCACAAGGAAAAAATAGTTCGGAATTATGTATGGTGGCGGATGTTAACTAGATTTATTGTAGTGATCATTTTGCAATATATACAAATACCTTGTATATCTGAAACTAATACAGTGTATGTCAATTATATCACAATAAAAAAATTTAACAACTCGTCTACTGACAATTAGAAAGGAAAATTTGGAAATAATAAAACTAAAGTTTATGTAGTATGCCATCGTTCAAAATAGTAGAAACACTGAATTAGAGTGTTTCATTATCTCTTTGTAAAGAAGATGATCCAAGGCAGCTTGAACCGTGCTAGCACTCGTCCTGTCTCACAATGTGACGCAAGCATCTTCTCTCCGCCTCGGTGAGTTGCCGCACTCCTTTGTGAGTCTGGATTAGCTTATGCACGGTGTCCTTTGCAGTCTCAATGCCATAAAATAGCTCTGAGAGCTCCTTTAGTGTGAAGTTGGAACCAGAGTCACTTCCTCTGGAACATCTGCATCCTTTTCATCACAACCTCCTCACTTACGTCCAGAATAAGTGCGCCTTCTCCAGGCCCCTCTGGAGTGTCTCAAATGGCAGCAGTTCAACAGCGGTGTCAACACCCCCTCATCTTGGAGGACCGCCTCTGCTGAAGAATGCCGCCGCACCCGCAGCCCTGCCCCCTGCCCAGGGCAGCCCACACCCAAGAGCTCAATTTCACAGGCAGGGAGACTTCTCACCCAACTCAGGACAGCACAGAGGGGTCATCCTATCTCTAGAAGCCTCCACCGGGTCAGCTAAGGCTTCCATTGACACTGTATTCCCCAACAAATGTGTTATGCTCATCTTTGTCTCAGAGACTGCTTCCCAAGGAACTTAACCTGCGACAGGGATGGTAAGGCTTCATGTCAGCAACATATTCTCAAGTGATTTGTGGGAGAATGGGGGTATAGAGCGTGGAGGGGGAGCTTACTGCACTAAAACCTTTTCTATAAATTTGAGATTGTTTCAAAACTTAAGAAGTAATGTGAAATGGGGAAAGCACAATTACACTAAAAAGTTCCCATTGTATACCTATAAAATCATTATTAACAATTCACATTTTTTTCTAATGTCTTTAAGAAGGCCCTTTGAGAAGAAGAAAAAAAAAGAAGCTAGGATCATGTTTTTTAAACCATTAAGATCTTTCTCACACACAAACATAAAATTCTGCCAGCTCACCAAAGGTGCCACATCCCACGTTATCACTCTCACATCGGTTTGCCTGTTCCCTGTCGCACGTCAGGCACGCCTACGTTTATCTACGTGACCTCGCCTCTTTCCCACCTTAAAACAAAAAGCAAGACCACCTGCTATCACCTTGCTACTCAGGACAGGATCCCTGGACCTGCAACACTGAAACCACGGGACACTTGTTGGAAATGCAGAACCTCGGGCCCTGTCTCACACGTACGGAAACAGAATCTGGGTTTCCGTAAGATTCCCGGGTGATTTTCCATGTACTTTAGATTTTGTGAAGCAAGGTTCTAGTTTCTACTGTGGGGTGTAGAGAGCTACAAGAAGCACTGTCACCATCCTTACAGGGAAACAAAGTCAGACTAAATTCAAACTCATGACTTATTTCGAACCAAACCCATGAGAGAGCTGAAGTCACAGCGCAAACTTGGCCTAAACTAAGAGAGCGGCAGGCACCTGCAAGGACAGAGCGGACAGGGGACGGTAGCACTTGCTAACTTGGGATCGATGCAACCGGACACCTTAAGGAGGGTACAGCTAGAACAGTCAGGGCGCAGGTGAAGGCAGCGTGCGGGCTGGGGGACAGTGGGAAGGCACCGGCATACAGATAAATTGGGGGAGTCCGCATCTCCTTGCAGATTCTTTCACCAGAAATCCCACCAGACACGGAAAGTGATAAGAGAAGAGAATGTTGAGGGAGTGTCCAGTTTGGTGCAGGCCTCCAGGAGTGGAAAAGCAGTCGTGCAGAAGGGACACGAAATTCTACCTGGATCCTTTTTTCAATCTCTCCTATGAGTCAAAGGCTTTAGTCTGTCAGAAGGGCAAACATATTGTCAGGGAAGGTGACCAATCCTCCAGTTTGCCAGGGACTAGCTCAGTTTTAGCACTGAAAATCCTATAGCCCAGGAAAAAAATGTATCCCTAGCTCTTGGGTATTTTAACTTGAAAAACAAAGTTCAAATCATCTTCTTGACTTCATAAGCTTCTTACCAAAGAAAATGAAAAGATCTTACCTGCTAAATGGCCTGCATATTTTTACAAAATGCTGCTAAAAGGGGGTGTGATTTGCTTACCTGTGATATTTTATTTTTCTCTGATGAACTAGAATTCTACACAGGACTGTCTGTAAAAAAATGAGCATACTAGTAATGAGTAGTTAAAATAAGTTTAGACTTCTGACCAATGAGTAAAGGAATACTCTCAGTAATACTCAAGCTACTATAGTAGTACTAACCAAGGTCCCCTTTAAACTGTAAAAGCCGAATCCTTCTCTATTGATACTCCCTCCTCAACTGATTACAATCTGGCTTCTTCCCAAATAGCTCTTATAAAACTACTACTGACAGCCCAGCTGGTGTGGCTCAGTGGTTGAGTGTGGACCTATGAACCAGGAGGCCAGGGTTCGATTCCCGGTCAGGGCACATGCCCGGGTTTGCAGGCTCAATCCCCAATGTGGGGGAGGCAGCTAGTTAATGACTCTTATCGTTATGTTCCTATCTCTCTCTCCCTCTCCATCCTTCTGTGAAATCAATAAAAATATATTTAAAAAAACTACTTCTGACAAAAACACCAGTCTCTTTTGTGTTAAATCCTATGCACCCTCTTCCGACACACCTGCCCCCAAGCCTTTCCCTTACGTGACTTATTCAAAGCATCAGACCAACCCCATGTCTTTCCCACTTAGCGTCTGGAACACACTATTCTTGTATTTTTCCTATCTTTGTGGACACTCCTCCTCAGCCTCCTTCTAGCTCTGGTTCTTCTTCCTCTTCCCTTTGAGGTCTCTCCTGGATCTTCTTTTCCGTCTATATACAGTGTTGACACTCATACTACACCTTCAGCCTAATCTTCCCTTATGAGTTTAGATTTGTAATATAAATACCACACACACACACACACACACACACACACACACACACCTAACTACTTGATATCTCCCTTCACATTCGCACAGGTATCTTAAACTTGACATGTCCAAACTTAAGACTAATTTCCATCCCTCCGAAACCTATTTGCCCCCAAACTTCTCCCTCACAATTATTAGGACCAACTTTTACTTAATCACTAGTCAGAACCCTAAGTCCTCACTTTCTATTTTCTTTCCCTTAATTACCTGCCCCTTTCTACCCATCAGCAAGTTCCATCAGTTCACTCTCAAATAAGTATCTTTTTTTTAAATATATTTTTTATTGATTTTAGAGAGGAAGGGAGAGGCAGAGAGAGATAGACATATCAATGATGAGAGGGAATCATTGATCAGCTGCCTCCTGCACGTCCCACACTGGGGAGCGAGCCTGTGACCCGGGCAAATGCCCTGACCAGGAATCAAACCATAACCTTCTGGTTCATAGGTCAACGCTCAACCACTGAGCCATGCTGGCCGGGCTCAAATAAATATCTTGAATCCACCTCCTTTTCTTCATCTCTGTGGCCACTTAGTCTAAACTACCACCACCCCTGGCCTAGGCTACTGTAACAGCTTCCCAAGTGGTCTCCTAGCTTCTGCACTTGCAGCCTTCAGGTAGTCCATTAGCAGCCACAGTGCTCCTTACATCCCATTATCTCACTCCAGGGCTCAAACCTTCGAACGGCTTTCCTAAGGTTTACCTACGAGGCCCTGACTGATCTGGCTTCTGCCCCCCTGCCTACCTCATTCCACGCTCCACTTTGTTCATTAAATTCCACCCATAAATACTTTCTGTCAGTTCCTATGCTATGCCAAGTCCCTTCTTATCTCAGTGTCTTGGTATTTGCTTTTCCTCCCCAGAATGCTCTCCTCCCGCTGTGTGAATGACTAGCTCTTCAAACCTTTCTTTTCAGTTTAAATATTACCGACACAAAGGCCTTCGCAGATCGCCTTATCTAAATAAGTGTCATTCTATTTATTCTAACAGCACAGATTATATATAATGATTTAATTTATTTACTATATTACTCATATCTTTCCTCTCTCAAAAAATGTAAGTCTCATGAGAGTATTATGCCAAGTTAATTAATTCTATTATATGGTAGGGAGAGTAACAAATATTTGTTAAATAAACAAACTTTCAAAGTTTGGAAAGCTTTCCAATGAATAGTATATTAGATATCTATATTAATAATAGACAAATATGTAAATTGGCCATCCCTTTGTGACACCCACAGCCAATCAAGCGTGAGTATGCAAATTAACCCGACAAAGATGGCAGGCCTGTGGGCAGCAGGCACACGTGCAGATGCCAAGCAGCCATGGCAACGACACAGGTGTTCCACACCACCCCAGTCGCTCCAGGCCTGTGGGCAGCGTGGAAAGGCAGAAAGGCGGCTCCGGGCCAGAGCGAAGGCGGTGCCGGCAGCCAGGGGAAGGAAGGCCTATTCTTGCATGAATCTTCATGCATCGGGCCTCTAGTTTTTTATAAAACTCATTCAAAAATCTAAAGAAAAATTAGAGTAAAGGTTAGAAACATATGACAGTTATGTGTCACAAATACTAGTTTTCTGACTTTTCCAAATTCCTCAAACAATTTATAAACTTTTTTGCATACTGATTTTACTTTGATTTTGCTTATGTAAATGCCATATTTGCTTTTGTACTGAATGTTAAAAGATAGACTAAGATATGTAACTTTTATTGATCATTTAAGGTGTAACCTTTTCCCCAAACATGCGTTAAAAAAACCAGGAATGAGTATCCAGAAGGGTGTAATAATTAGAACAGAGTTTTAGAGTCAAATAAAGCTAAGTTAAAAACTCCACTCTGCTACACAGGTTGCAGGATCTTGGGCAAACTCCTCTTGGCCTTAGTTTCTTAATCTATAGAATAGAGATCATTCCTTCTCGCTCCATGAGAAGTAAATAAAATAAGTACATGGAAACTCACTTAATTCAGCATGTTTGACACATAGCAGATGCTTAATAATTGCTAAGTAATTGTAGTGAAGATGGTGTTAGCAGCAGCGAGAGTTGCAGCTGCAGAAGGTCTTCTATAAAATATAAGAACCATTTCACAATAGAAATTCAGAAGTAGTTTTATGAAATACTAGGCTTTTTTTCAAAGTACGAATGTTTTAAACCATACAGTGCACTAAGTAATCTACCCTAAAACTCAGAAAGAAAAGAGAAAATCTAAACTAACCCAAATAAGAAAACCATTCTAATATAAATTTCCCTGAAACTTTAAAATCCAAAAATAGTAATATCTCAGTTAATCAGGTGCTTAAAACAATGATCCTTTGAACAACCAAAATCCAGATATTAGCAAAAGTACTCACAGGATCTTCAATGTGAGATCTGAGCATCAAAGATCAATAATGTGATGGAAGCAATTGGCTAGGTGGAAAGACAAAGAAGGGTGGTGGTCTATGACCTTGAAACGAATATCAGGATTAAACCCTATTGAGAAGCCTAGGGGGAGCAAAAACAAAATGAGAATGAAAGAAAAAGAAAAGAAAGAAAAAACACATGGAAGAGTGACAAAGAGCAGACATTAAAAATAACAAAAAAAGATGCCAAAAAGCAAACCTCCTTACACAGCAGAAAAGAGTTTACCACAACCACAAGGGATGAATGAGAATAGCGTAGAATAGTCTGCAGGCACTGAGGGGTGGGGGAGGGTTACTATAAGTCCAGCACATTTCACTACCACTATACGACAGAGTCTAAAAAGCCTGCCAACTGGAATGGCACAGGGTGTGATGACTAGTAGTATATCTACAAATAGAAGTAGCCCCCCAAAATATTGCTGTATTAAAATACAGTATATAAGGACTCTGACATCTAGCAGAAGCTAAATTGTGCTCATTATGCTTTCATTAAGGCAGGGAAAAATGCAGCACTACGTTCAAATATGCTTCCAATAAAAGCTATCCAAGTAAATGCTTAAGAGCTTAAAGTCCTTTGCCTAGAAGATCTCTCATTTACCAGAAGATCTGAGGTAACTAAGTTATTACATTTTAACATCTAACTTCTGTTTCTAATGTGGTTGTTTTTATTAACCTAAAGCAGACATAAACCTGTGAGTCAAACACAAGGGAAGAGTCCTATAAATCTACATGCTAATTAATTCAACTGACTTGAGAAAAATGCTAATAAATTTTTCACTCAAAGATTGGTCTTTATTTGTTCTAGTTAGCTTTACACTGACGTGCCAAAGAAAACCAGTCAAAAGTGTGGTTATGCAAACTCATCACTATTTTTAGAAAAACTGAAACTATTAATGGTTCAATATCAGATCATTCCCAACATTCAAAAACATCCATTATCTTTAGTTGCAACTGACCTTCTGGATGCCCCTGTAAGTAGCAGACTTCATATTATTTCAATTTTCCTATCCACAAATTTGTTTATAAAAACTTGCTTGTCATGATTGCTTAAGTTAGCAATAAGTGACTACTGAGATGAACACCAAATTAATTACTAGTGAATCAAACACTCTAGCAGTGTTCAGCTTACCTGAAGCCATATTTTCTAAGTATCTAATATTTAGAATTTAGTCAAGAACTTAGAAATTAAGAGACATCGCAATCAAGGAAAACAGCTATCACAAAACTCATTTATTTGATAGAGAGGTGAGGAGTTTGATAGAGAGGTAAGGAGTTACTCTTCTGGCCTTATCCAGAGACAAATAAATGTAAAATAAAGCAATGAGCTAGAAGCAAAGAGAATACACTGATAACAGCAAGTATCCATGTATGACAGAAGAGAAGGAGAGCTAAGGCAGAGGATTGAAGCAGCAGCAGCTTACAGCATTTCATATAAAGCAATGGCTCTTGACCAGGACAACTTTGCTACTCTCTCCTCTTCCCCCCACCCCACATCTTCTCCATAAAACATTCGGCAATGTTTGGAAACATTTTTGGTTGCCAGAACTGGGTGAGGTGGGTCCGAGGGTGCTCTGTCATCTAGTGGGTAGAGGACAGGGACACTGCTAAAAATCCCCTGGGGAAGACGGCCCCCACAACAAGGAAGTATCCAGCCCCAAATGTCAATAGTGCCAATGTTGAGAAATCCTATTTGGAGGAAGGAGTCCCACGTAGCTCAATATATAAAAGAAATCACTGCACTAGCACTCAGCATAAGAACTAATGTTCAAATTTCTTAAAATAAACAAAAGCCTATATGTCAATGGTATGCGTTAATAGAGAAAGATGTAATACAAGATTTCCAACAGAAATTATTCTTTTCTAAACGCACTGATAGAAAGTAATAAGTTACTATTAAGCATGGCCATCTACATGGAATACCACTTGCTAATTTCCCTTCCCTTGAATCCAGACTGGTCTTAGTGACTTGTTCAACCAGCAGAAGTGATATTCTGGGACATCCAAAGCTAGGTCATCATAACAAGTCGGGTGGAAGGTTGAATAATGTCCATTCCCAATCCTCCAACCCTTGAATATGTTACCTTGGATGGCAAAGGAGATTTGCAGATGTAATTAATTAGGATTTTGAGAGAATGAGATTATTCGGGGCCTAAATATGATCGCAGGGGTCACTATAATAGGGAGGCAAGAAAAGGTCAATGAAGGAGATGATGTATTGATCAAAAACAGAGATCAGAGTGATGTGGACAGGAACCAAGGAACGGCAAAAGCCGGAAGAGACAAGGAAGAGCTTCTTCTATGGAGCCTCCAGGACAGAACCTTGCTGATGCTTTTATTAGCCCCTTAAGTCTCCTTTTGGACTTCAACCCCCCAGAATGCTAAGAAAATAAATTTGTACTGTTTTAAACCACTAAATTTGTGGCAATTTGTTACAGCAGCAACATGAAACTAATACAAAGTCTTAAAGTGTCTATCTAGCTTTCTTGGAACGTTTTCTCTGGGACTTGGTCTATCACCTAGCTATTACAGCACGCTGCGATTGACATGCTGGTGAGGTCTCATGCACCTACTCTGGCCACCGCTGCAGTTGAGCCCAGCCTTCCAGCCCTCTCCACCAAAGTGCCAGACATGAGCAAAACCACCGTGGACTCTGTAATCAGCCCATCTCCCAGCTGAAGTCTACGGAGTGACCTCTATAGATACCACATGAACCAGGTGAATTATCCAGCTGAGCCCTGATTATATTCCTGATCCACAAAAATCAAAAGATATAATAGAATGGTTGTTGTTTTAAATCACATATAACTCCAGACATCAAGCTATATGTAAGTGTTGATTAAAGACTGTTAAATAGCATATATCCATTTTATAATGGAAAAAAATCTTATTTGTGTTATCCGTTCTTTACTGGCAGTAATCCCTAGTAACAGGGGCCACTCCAACATGCCCAATAACTCTGAAGTATTCAGAATTAAGCTTGTTAGAATATATTGATACTAGTGGCCCAGGGCACGAAATTCATGCACATTAAAAGGGAATTAACCCTTTGAGTGCCAACCAATATTCTAGGAACTATGCTAAAATTGCCAAGGCATTTTTGCTGATTTTACAGCAGTTTAGGAAAAAAATTATGAATTGCAAGTAAATGAAATTACATATTCAAAAACGTAAGGAAACCTTTACTACCTTTGTTTTCATCTTTGACATATATTGTTTGCTGATTGTATTTAAAATACTAGTAGAAAAAAAAATTTGAACAAAACATATAATGTTAAAATAGAGGGACACCCTTCTCCACTATCTTCCACAAAATCGTCATCTTCACAGCAAGAACTGACATATTTAGCAATATCATCATCACTAATAAAAGCAGACTTAGAACTGGACGCCATTTCGAAGCTTTAGGGCTACAAAATCTGAGTAAACTTCATAAAATTGTAGTACCTGTAAAAAATTAGGCAGATAAATGCCAATGGTCAATTTTAGAACTCAAACATTCGGCATCACAAGTAATCTGCACTTAGGTGCCATCTGTCAATAAAGAGTGAACTACTAGCATCTAACAGTGACACTGCAGGAGGAGCGCGATCGCACTCCCGGCACTTTTGGTGAAAGACAGGAGGAGCGCGATCGCACTCCCCGGCACTCTAGGGGTTAATTAGAGGACATATTTCAATATTGCTATAATTGAAGTGTCAGAGATGAAAGAAAATTAGTAAAATGTATATGAAAATCTTCCTCATGTCAGAGTCTGGGGCGCGCCGCGGGACCCAGAGTCAAGTCCCCGCCCACCCATGTGCTCCTTGAAATCGTGCGAGACCCAGCCCCAGCCAGCCCCACCTCCATTGGGTGAGATCCAGACCCAGCCGCCCCCATACCCGTCAAGCCCTGCCAGGTGGGGGGTGCAGCCTCAGGTCCCCTGGCCCAGCGCTGGGTGGAAGTCGCAGCCTCAGGTCCCCCGGCCCACCCTCAAGTCCCCTGGCCCGGTGTCAAGGCGGAGGGCATGGCCTGGGGTCCCCTATCAAGCCCCACCGGGTGGGGGAGTGCAGCTTGAGGTTCCCTGTCAAGCCCTGCTGGGTGGGGGGCATGGCCTGAGGTTCCCCGGCCCAGCACTGGCAGGGGGCGCAGCCTCAGATCCCCTGGCCTGGGCCGGGGTGGGGGGCGTGCCTTGACGTCCCCCATCAAGCCCTACCAGGCAGGGGGCACAACCTGAGGTCTCCCGTCCTGGGCTGGGGCAGGGGGCACGCCTTGATGTCCCCTGTCAAGCCCTGCCAGGTGGGGGGCATGGCCTGAGATCCCCCATCAAGCCCTGCTAGGCATGGGGCCCAGCCTCAGCTCCCCCACCCCTCCCCAGCTTGGCGCTATGCAGCCTCAGGTCCCTGCTGATCGCTCGTTATGGCTCATTACGGGAACCCCGCCTCCGCTGTGGGTGCAGCCATCTTGTGACAGCATTATGGTGTAAGGGTCAATTTGCATATTACTTCTTTATTATATTTAGGTTCTTTCCATATTAGTAAAATAATTGATTGTGGCAAAGCTTCATTTTAAGTTATCTAGGCCCATGATATAGAAGCTCTCAGCTTCTTAGATATCTCTCACTCCTCCTGACTCAATTCACACTTCACATCCTCATCCTGGCTGTTCTCTTCTTGCTGTGTCTAGTTGGGGCTACTTCCCTTGTTCCTCTTTTACTATTTCAGTGAAGGCACCGAAATATCTTTATTCGTGCATCTTAATTTAGAGTATGAGATGTTTTCCTTACCCTCGTTCTCATTCTCTTTCAGCAAAAGCTGAAATAATCTCCCATTCATCCCAGAGGTTAATAGCTTAACAGAGTGGCTATTTTCTCTCATAATCCTGAACAATAGGCTGAGAGAAATGGAGATATTTTCCTTAAGAGTCCAGAATCCCTAGTGGGTCATAACTCCATGAAAGATCTTGTTTTTGAGTATTCTAGACATCCACTTTACTATCAGCTTTTTATCTTGCAGCCTTTCATTTGACAAAGGCCCTTCTGCTATATGGCAAGTTCTCAAATCGAAGCTCCTCATCTACTTAACTAATCACAAAAGGTGAGGAACTACAAGGTTATACAGTTTAGAATTATACAGTGTGTCTATGTGGATGTAGATAAATGGTAAAAAGAAAACCTAAATGTACACAATTACCACTTAATATGGCAAAAAAGAAAAAAATGCAAGCTAATTAAGATCTAACAATGATAGCCCGCTTGGCTCAGTGGTGGGGTGTCGATCTAAGAACCAGGAGGTCAGGGTTCGATTCCCCATCAGGGCACAGGCCCAGGTTGCGGGCTCCATCCCCAGTGTGGGGTGTGCAGGAGGCAGCCAATCAATGATTCTTTCTCATCCCTGATGTTTCTCTCTCCTTCACTCTTCCTATCTGAAATAAATAAAAAATATATATATTTTTAAAAAGATCTAACATTGATAGAAAAACTGCTCTGTTCACAGCAATCTATCTCTTGTTATATGTAAAAAGAATCTCATTTTAAAAATCCTTAAGTACATGTTTAACAGAAACATTCCCTAAGAAGCTCCTTTTTTTCAAATCAAATCTTTTGCTGCGCCTTCCCCAAAGCCAACTCTTATCTCTATGTAATTCTCCAGCAAACATTAATTACTATACCTTAAATAAGTGTGGGAGGCAGCCTCTCAGGCCCTCCCAATCATTTCCTCCTCCTGGTTTTACGCCCTGTACAGTCCCCTCCTACGATGTACCAGGGCAAAAGGGATGGACTATCTCTTCTAAGACTGGGTAATAAAAGACTGTGGCTGCCAGCTTAGACTGTGTCATCATCACTTGTCCTGGAGGGAGCCAAGGGCCACGTCTTGAGAACCCTTAGGTGGCCCTGGGGAGTGGCCTGCATGGCAAGAAACTGACACTTCCAGCCTGCAGCTGAGTGAATGAGCCTTTTTGGGAATGGATCTTGCAGCCCCAGTCAAGGTGTCAAACGATGCAGCCACAGCTGAAAGCTTGATTACGACTTTATGAGACCCGAGTCAGAAACATCTCACTAAGCTGCCCCAGGACTCTGGAAGCTGTGCGACAATACATGTTTGTTTTAAGCCATTATATTTAGGGGTATTCGTAATACAGCGATGAACTAATACAATGAGCAATGCCACTGCCCATCCTTCAAAATCCAAATTGCTGTACATTCGGCCCATAGCATCTGCAGGCTCTGCATCTGGGGATTCAACCAATCAAAGATAAAAAATATTGGGGTGGGGGGAGGGAGTTACACGTTGCTGTCACGTACAGAGTAGTTAGGCCTCAGATGATTACGTCCGTACTGAACATGTACAGACTTTTTTTTTCTTATTATTCCCTAAACAATACAACTGTTAACATAGCATTTACATTGCACAAGAAGTAATCTAGAGAGGATTTAAAGCACACAGGGATGATGTGCATAGGTCATATGCAAATAGTCCGCCATCCCATAGAGGGGACTTGAGCATCCACAGATTTTGGTACCCACGAGGGTCCTGGAACCGGTTTTTAAAAATAATTATAAATAGAAAGTGTAATTGCAAAAAGTGGGAGACAAGTTTGTTTGAAAATCTTGGCTAAAATTAAAGGCAACTGTAATAATGTCAGCTCGCCAGCCCTACTTGTAAAAACAATGAACTAACAATGTACTATCTGAGGCTAGGAACTGTTTCTGGAAAAAGACCAGGTTGAGCAGGTGAAGTGAGAACACGGTATCAACTTTTTTTAAATTGGGGAGGAAATCAGTTTAAAAATCACAGTATCCTAAGTAGCTATGATAAGACATCCCACAAAGTAGGGGTTATCTATTATAAATTGGTTCTATGAATGTAACGCTTTATCTTGTCACAGACTATATCACTTGCCCACTGATAAACTCATAAGAAAGATAAGGGCAAAAGTACCAAATTTCAGCAGTAGATTCCACTGACATATCAAAGCATGGATGATTTTTTTCTTGTAATGTTTCCACACCAACTCCAAAGCATGTCATAACATCATACAAGAAGCCTTCCCAGGAACACATAAGATTCCCTACAATTAAAAAAAAGCCCTTTTTACCAAAAATTTATTTCATTAGAAAATCCACTAAGTACACACACACACATTTAATATGTGAATCGGGTATTGAAAAAGCAACAATAAAAGAAAAACAGCAATTTTTTGTTTGGGGGGGAAAAAATGTTGATTTCAGCAATGTAATGAGCTGCATTCATTTGCAACATAATAATGAATAAAATAATTTATTAGTGACAATTCAATTCCAGTTTATCTCCATAGTAACTATGTGTATTCATATTGAAAACAATAAAGAACATTAAAACTGTCCTAAAAATGAAACCGGTAGCATCACTTAAGTGTCATTTGAGTCAAAGAGCAATAATTTAGTCATCAACATTGGCAAAAAGAGTTTATTTAAACTTTAAAGATCTTTAGCTTATAAATAGGAGATAAGCATTCTTTCTCATTTAACGCACATACTTATTAAGCATAACTGATCTAAGTGATCTCCATTGACTGAAGCTTATAGGTCCTCTCCAGTATATGTAAAACTATGTTAAATTTCAAAATATCATCTTCATTGTAAAATGCAGCATATCTATTGCAATGTGCAATAGGTATGAAGTAAAATTTACCCAGGACATGCTTTTTCAAGAATTGCCATAAAGTTATATTAATAGGGCCCTTCAATCTTGTAACAGTGGTAATATAGAAATTCCAAGAAATTACTTAGAAAGGTCAAATGTATGTTCAAATAGTCTTTGCTCATGGAGAACTTCAGCATGTGAGTGTCTATTGTATTTCAAGGAGCTCATTTTCAGAACTGAATATTTTAAAACCACATACTGAGTACACACATAGCTTACAAAATATGCTAGCATTTGATTATGATTTAATATAATGTGATTACACATTTAAAAAATGAATTGATCACAATGTGACATTTTTCCTGTAAAAGCACTGTGGGTGGACATTGTCTTGAATCATCCAATAGGATAAATTGGTCCATAATTCCCTGAATGTAGTGGGGAGGGAGGGGCGTGGTTAAAAGACACAATTAAGCCTGGCTGGTGTGGCTCAGTGGTTGAGTGTCCACCTATGAAGCAAAAGGTCACGGTTAGATTCCCGGTCAGGGCATATGCGAGGTTGCAGGAGGTGTGCAGGAGGCAGCTATCAATGATTTTCTCTCATCACTGATGTTTCTATCTCTCTCTCTCTTTCTCTCTCTCCCTTCCTCTCTGAAATCAATAAATAGATATATTTTAAAAAAGACACAACTAATAAAAAGGTTTTGAAGAAGTAGTATAGATAAGTCATATAAAGGTAGATAAATCTTTCCTCCATTCCTGTGCATAGGCCAAGGAATCACCTTCAAGTGCCTGTGGCAAATCAAATGCCATCTTCCCAATCAATATGCTGTAAACTTAAGGAATCTACAGAATGGTTATGTACCTACCAACTTTTGGGGGGGGGGGTGTAAACTTTTGATGTTCAAACACATCAGAATGTAATATAAAATAGTAGCAATGTATTTTGTCTATATTACCATATTTTAAATGGCAAATATTTTAAGATGGAATGATTTTATCTTTTGCTCCTTTCATCCCTTTGATTTTATGAATTGTTAACTTTTGCAGCTGGACTCAAATTCTGACCTACCAGCTTGCTGCACTGATTGTAAAAATATCCTATTTTAACATGTTGGCTTAAAAATAGCTTTGCTTTCACCATTGCAGATTACTTTTGAGCAGAAGTCTGCTTTTTCTTGAAGAGCCACAGATTCTCAGAAAAAAATACCTTCTTGTTTACTTCATTCTTTCAACCTCTGGGGAAACAACAAAAACTGGAGTTTAACTCGCGAAGCACCGAACTTAATATGGGCTTGCAAGTATGTATCTGCAGTTGCTGGTTTGATCCATTCTTTCCATTTCCCGGGGAGATGTTCCCTTCCGCTGTTCAAATGAATACAACTAGACGTGTGTGCACACAAGCAGCCGAGAGAATCTCTGCCTTCTGAAGAAACATCCCTTCTTATGGGCCCCCAGACACCTCCGTTCCATAACCATTCAAGAAAGTTTCTTCCTCTCGGGTTCGTAGCACTTTCGGGGGAAGCAGGCATGCCACCTGCGCGGCTGCAAGTTCACACGAAAGCATCGAGGGACAAGAGGGCTGGGGAGGGGAGGCACACGGCAAATCAAAACAAAATCAGAACAGGATCGGTTGGCCATTGGGGCTGAAGCTCGGGCTTCTGAGGCTGGGGAGGAACCAGCCAGCCAAGCGTTGGCCCTGGCTGCCTGGCTAGATGGGCTCCGGTCCCACCTGCCCCGGGGACACTCAAGAGGCGGAAAGTTCCCCCCACCTCGGACGTCCCAGGCGCCGGGCCAGGCCGGCGAGGGGGGCCGGCGGGTGGGGCGGCGGCGGCGATGGCTGGGGTCCCAGGCCGAGGGGCGGCAGGGCTCCCCGGGGCAGGCGGGGCAGGGGAGGGCGCCGGGCCCCGGGTCACCCCCCTCTCCATCCCCTTTACCTTGGGCGATGGCAATGGACTCGAAGCGGTGCAGCTCCTTGAGCAGGCAGCTCCTCTCGGTGGAGTGCAGGCTGTAGATGAAGTCGCGCGCGCCCTGCGCCGTGTTCAGCGCCTCCATGGGCTCCTTGGGGTGCGTGCCCAGTCCCCGGGGGCCGCCGGGGGAGCCTCCGGGGAACGCGATCGCCAGCAGCCCCCGCCCGCAGCCGCACCAGGACGGCAGGCGGGGCGCGGCGGCGGCGGCGGCGGCCGGGCCCGGCCTCAGGCTGCGCGCGGTCCGGCTCCGCAGCAGCGGCAGCAGCCGGGACATGGCGGGCTGGGGCGCGGGGACCCCCGCGGCAGTCCGGGAGGGCGATCTCGGGCGAGGCTGAGGCTAGAAGGAGCGGGGCACCGCCGACCCCGCCCCGATGTCCTCCAGATGGGCAGCCGCGGCGCCGGGCACCATGCACTCCCCGGGCCCGCACGGCTCTCGCGTCCTCTTCCGTCCCCGATCCCTTCCCAAAGGCCCGCGGCGGCTCCGGTCCCTCTGATGAGACAAACTTTGTGCGAGGCGATCGGGCTGGGAGGAGGGGCGGGCGGTGCGGGCGGGCGCCTCCCGCGCTGAGCAGGAGCGGCGCGGGCAGGCGGGCTCAGCGGGGTTTGTCTGTCGATCTGCCTTTCCAGGGGGATGAGTCAGCCACGCGCCGCCCTCCTCCAGCGCCGCCCTTCTCTCCCGCCGGCTTTCCCAGCGCCCGCTCCCACCCCGATCGCTTTCCGCGCCCTCGAAGCGGCCGCGCTGTCAGGCCGCAGCCGCCGCCAGTACCTCTAGCGGTGGTTTAAGGGGTAACAGGGCGGGGCCAAGGCAGGGGGCGGGGCGGGGCGGGGCGGGGCCGCGCAGGCGTAGTCCTCTGGCTCGCTGGCCCCGCTGGGGTGCAGGGAGCGTGCACCAGCGTGCACACCCCCTCCGGTGCGTGGAAATGGAGGCAGAGAGGGCGCGCCCCGTTGTGCTGGCGACCGTCACCTTTAAGTCCGGGGATGGAAATAGCGAAGAGGAGCTTTGAACCCCTCGCCCGGCCGGGTAGTGCAGCTGTCACCCGGCCCACCCTAGCGCCATGCCAAATCCGGGGCTCCTTACGAACAGTGCCCCAGCCTGCGCCCCCCTCTCCGGGCGCGGGCCGCCCCGACAGCCGCGCGGCCGCTCGGAGCCTCGCGGGTCACAGCCTTCGACTGATGAGGGTTTTGGAGATGGAAGCGCCCAGCCTGCGCACTTTGCCAAGTCAGCGCCCACCGTGGCCTCGGACAGACACTTCGCTCTCCAAGGCACCCGCTCTGGGAGCTCCAAAGAGAGGGCGAGGCCCGTTCTACCCCTTCCCAAGACGGGTTTGAGCCTGACATCTTGACACTGAGAACACCCGTCCTCGTCCATCAGCTTGCAGATGGGTGATGCTGGAGCGCTGGAGGCGAGTGTCACAGACCTTTCCCCGGTGTTCCCTCAAGGTTTGTGTGATTTCTCTACAGTATAGAGTCTATACCAAAACGAAGAATTCCGCGATTCTCCACTATTTCCCCATGTCCAGGTTCTAGGCATCTTTCAAGACCCGGCTCCGACTCGCCTGCCCCAAGCTTTCCTTTCTCTCTTCATCTGAACCTGTCTTACTGTCACCTAGGCTTCCCTTATTAAGGGAATAGATCCACTTAGAGACTAAATCTGCTCAAGTATAATCAAGACCTAAATCCTATCCTTATCATATCCGCTGCTGCTGCTGCAGCCAGGCCAAGCCCTGGCTTGTAGTAGATGTGCTGTACACATGTAAGTGCAGTAGATTCACTAAATCTCCCTGCCTAGTGGTTCTCAAAGTATGGTCCCTGGACAGCAGAGCTTGGTAGACCTGCAAATTCATGTGCTCCACCCAGAACTCCTGAATCAGAAACTGGGAGTTGTGCTCAGTCATCTGTGTTTTAACAGGCCCTCTGCTTAATACTGATGCACACATAAGTTTGAGACCCACTGCTCTAACTCAAACATGGAATGCAATTTTTCTTTTAAGTCTCAAGGTCTCTGTTGTAGTAATGACAATTAATACACTCCGGCCTGGCTGGTGTGGCTCAATGGCTGAGTGTCGACCTCTGAACCAAGAGGTCATGATTCCATTCCCAGTCAGTGCACATGCCCAGGTTTGGGGCTCCATGCAGGAAGCAGCCAATCAATGATCAATGATTCTCTCTCAACATTGATGTTTCTATCTCTTCCTTTCCCTCTCTGACATCAATGGAAATGTTTTTTTGTGTGTGTGTTTTTTAAGAATGCAGTCTGTGGAAACTGTGTTCTTTGAGTGCACAGACAGTCTTTCTTGTCTCTGAAACCCTCTATTCCCCCCGTGTGTGTTGGAATCCTCCGCAGAGTTATTTCAGTCTGGAATTCTTGGTATTACCACCACCTTCCTCTATATCTCTTACCCCCAAGAAATTCTGACTCACTGGGCTTGGGGTGGGGTCCTGGGAAGTGAGATTTGGAAAAACTACTCACTAAGAACCTATTCCCAACAGATTGCTGAAAGTTTGATAACGGGATTAACCATGGCCTAGCTGGGTGTTAGTAGTAGATTATAGTAGTGGTCCCAATGAATCACTCCCTATGTGTAGACCTGTCCTATGGTACACTCCCTTGTGTAGACCTGTCCCACATTGACTGTGGGCTTGGCCAAATGACTTGCTATTAGCCAATTAGTGGGGCATCACAAACCTGATCTGATAAGTGCTTGCTCGTTGGGACTTGCTATAATGTGTCTGCTGCAATGTGTTTGCTGTATGACTTATGAATATTTCATTCTGCTGTAGAAAATAGGAGAATGAAATATACACACAATTTGCTTATGAGACATGTTACACATAAAATAAATGGATATGTGTTTTAAAAGGATGGAAAAAATGAAAGTGCTATTTTAGATAGAGGTAGACCAAGTGAACTTTAAATACTAATAAGGCATGAATTGTACTACTCCTAGACTGACAACAATGTCATCTCTAAATTGGCCACCTACTAGTGACACCCATTATAGCCCCATTATGGCCTCAGGTAGTCTCTGTACAAGATAAACCCCTAGCTACTCAGCCAGCTAATGACCAGACACAGTCATGACCAGACATATTTGTCCTCACATCTCTCTGACAGAAGAGATGCATGTTGGTTTCTGGCTTCTTTAATCTGCTGACCCCCCTCACTCACTCTTCACTCTGGTCCTTAGAACTACCCCATCTGCAGAGGAGACTGGCATGGCAGAGAGGGTTAGGACGTATGAACATAGCATAAAACCAAATGTAGGTATTATGGTCCTTCCACTCTGCTTGTACCCTATCTAAGCACGTTTATCTACCACATCTCTTTCCTGTTGCTTCTCACTCTGCTCTAAACTGGTTGATAAACTAGACAGCCGTTGCTGCTCTTTGAGTGAATGTGCTATGCCAGACTTAGTGGCTTAGGTAGCCAGTTTATTTTGCTCTTGATTTTGTGGCTCAGAAATTGGGAAGGGCTTGCTTGGCCAGTTTATTGTTTGAGTCTCTTATCAGATGTCAGCTGCAGCTGCTGTCATTTGAAGGCTTATCTGGGCTGGACATCCAAGATGGCACACTCTGAGGCTGACAGTTGATGCTGGCTGTTGGCTGTCTGGAAGCTCAGCTGGGACTATGAACCAGAGCCTTCACAATCCCTCCAGCGTGGCAGACTTCTCACATGGCATCTGGCTTCCCTCAGAGTGAGTGTCTGAAAGTACCAGACTCATGGCCTTTTGAGACTTATGCTAAGAAGTCGTGCTGCATCACTTACACTTTATTCTACTAGCTACTGGCAAGCCACAAAGGCCATCTCAGATTCAACAGAAGGGTATGTAGAGCCCTCACCTCCCCCCAACGAATTGGGGAGATGTTTTAAAGCTGCTGAATTACATACTCCATGGGCTCATATTTACCTATAGGCAACAAGACTGTGACTGCCCACAACCAACATAAAAAATGCACATACACATATAATACCCACACACATGCATGCATGAACACACATCTATATGACTTTTTCAGGGTAATATTTTGTAACTTTTTCCCCTTCCAGGTTTCCCATCATATTTGAGGTTGGGGAGGGAGATTGATCAAATTAAATATAAATAATAGGGCTATCAAATGCCTTCTGTTCAAACTTTAAACTCAGATTTTTAGTGAGGCCTTCAAATCATTCATCTACTTTTAAAAAATGACTATCTTTGAGTCCAGCAGAAAGGTCAGTAGAAGGATTTTGAATGTTCCTATTTGTTTTGGAAGAAAAATAAGGAATCCATTCCGACTTTCTGAACACCTTTTCAGAGAGACATTAAATCAGCTAGAATGGAAAACCTACAAGAAGATAAATTTGAGCAACAGCCCCCAAAAAGTACAGGAATTGGACACGCCAGGTACTTCTGAAGGTAGAAATATAATTGAGCTAAAAAAAAAAAAAAGAAGAAGAAGAAGAAAAAAAAACCTAAGTGAAAAACTTTAGGGGAGCAGTTATAAAGCCAGCTTTCCTTGTACATCTGATGCAGCTGGGAGGCTGCCACCTCTGCATCCCAGCAGAAGTCCAGACGTTTACTAGTGGAGACACTAGATTCAAAGGCAGGAGAAACACCGGAGGGAAGGGAGGTGCACCAAAAACAAGGAGATGGAGGGAGTGCCACATTCTGACTCATGGATCCCTTGTCACGCTTCTGCTTTGCCTCAAAAACACAGGTAGCCATACTATTGGGGGATTTCTCTCTGAGCACCCACTAAAAGAGCTCAGCCAGACCACCCGACAGTGAAACCATGCGTTAACTAGCTCTGCCACGCACAATTTCCAAACAGCTTTTTGTTTTCTCACTCTTAAATACGAAGTATGAGCCAGGAGCCCAAAATCACTAGTAAGTTGAAGAAAGCCTTCAAGATGGAAAGACAGAACCAAAATAGCTAGCATTTCTTTAACAGGGGGATCTCTGAGGAAATAGGGAGCAAAATAAATGTTTGAAAAGGCATCACAATATCTTTGCAAAATAAGGAGAGATACTGCATCTATGGAATAATAGGAATCTACAAAAGTAAGAACATCCAGAAAACAAAAATAATATTACTTGAAAATTAAAAATATGACAAAGTAAAAACTGTTTCAAAAGGATCAGAAGATAACATTGAGAAAAAATTTATTTAAAAGTAGATGGTAGATAATATAACAAATATAAAATAGAAGATAAATGACAAAATTAAAGACTCAGGTCAGGAGGTCCAAGAGAGTTAAAGAAGATATAATAGTTTTGCACTATAAGGGAGAAAATTGTCAAAGAAATGTCTGAAGGAAAGTTCCCAAAGAGAAGGTCATTTGTTCCAGCAGCAAAGTAAGTGGCTCTCAAGGGACATTCAATAAAAAGAATCCCATTGCACAATGGCTTCAGACATCTCAACAGCAACACTGGACACCAGAAGACAATGGAGAAACAGCTTTAAAATTCTGAGGAAAACTATTCCATCTAGAATTCTATATCTAGCCATCTGGTGTGAGGGTAGAGTATAACCTCAGATATTGAAGTCTCAAAATATTTACATTTCATATATCATATCAGGAAGTAATTGTAAGATGTGTTCCATTAAATTGAAGGATTAAACCAGGAAATGGGAAGTCATAGGACAACTAGAGAGTGTCCAGTCCAAATGGGAGCAAGGTGACGGAAGGTTTGGGGAGGTGTGCCTCTAATACAGAGATGGGTTTAATAGATTTTTTTGATGTATTTTTGAAGT